GCCCGCGGCGCCGCTCACCCCGGCAGCGCGCCCAGGCTCCAGAGCTGCAGCAGCGCCGCGCCGCCGTGCAGCCCCGCCGCGCTGTGCGTCTCCTCCATGCTCCTGTGGCAGTACAGGGCCACGTAGTGCGCGGCTGCCGCCGCGCCCGCCGGGCACGGGCACCACTCCATGGCCCACACGGGGCCGCCCGTGAAGAAGGAGACATCGAGGCGCTCCGCGTGCGGCGGCTGCGACTGGAACCTGCGGCGGGGAGGCCCTCAGCGCTCCGGCGGGAAGGGCGCGGGGCGGGAAGGGGCACGAGGCTGCGTCCCGTGGCACCAGCCCGGACCCGAACCCACACGGGCCGTCGGCAGCRCCGCTCCCGCCGGGTCGGCCACGCCGCGTGGAGCCACCGCACAGCCACGCGCAGCCTCTCGGCTCCCAGACCTGTTTATCCTGGACAAGGCACCGTCTTCCTCGATGCCCTCCCGCTGGATTAGGAAAAGGGGCGACTTCTCCTCCACGGGCAGGTACGGGGCGGCCTCGCTGCAGGGACAGGAGGTGAGAGGAGGGTGACTCGACACGGGGACCCCCTCGTCCCTGCTCCCCGCATGGGACCCGCTCCCCACGCAGGGACCGGTTCATCCCCGCACAGCCCAGCCCTACTCCCCACGTGGGACCCGTTCATCCCTGCACAGCCCAGCCCCACTCCCCACGCAGGCCAGGGCGCCCAGGGATGCTCAGGCTCCAGAGAGGAAACACGAGCAGGACGCGGGGGCAGCACCGGCGGCTGCCCCAACCTCCCCTGCGCCCGGCTGCGGCTCTGCTGCCCACGGCAGGGCATGGAGCTGCCCCACGGCACAGCCTGAGCGCAGGCGGTGTCACCAACACCCCCACGCGGAGCTGCCCCACGGCACAGCCNAGCCCAAGCAGCACCACGCACTCCCCGGGCCGCTACCTCTCAGAGAGACACGTCCACTTGTGCACCAAGGGGATCCAGTCGGGAAACTCCCACTGGGAGTAATTCTGATGCCGCCTGCAGCGGAGGGGCCGGCGGTGAGGGCAGAGCGTCGGCTGCGCGCGGCCGCAGCCCCGTCCCGCCRCAGGCACCACTCACACGCTGCCCGTGAGGCTGCAGCACTTCTCCACGGGCGCCATGACCGAGTTGTGGAAGCCGTTGGGCGCCAGGCCGCGGCACTGCGGCTTGGACCTCTGCGCGAGGGCGAGCGGGTCGGCACCGGCACCGAGCCGGGCCCAACGTCCCCCGCGCCGCTGGGACGGGGCCGCGGCGGCAGCACCCAGCGCGGACCCGGGCTGCGCCGCTAACGCGGAGGGAGCAGC